GTGACTTAGGTTAAAAAACCCAGGTTGTTTATGTGTGTGTGTGTTCCTTTATATATGGGATCGGATTTCTTACATTTTTCAGCCGATAAAACAAACATCCACTTTTTTTTTCGGCAGGTAGTATTTCTTATTGTCTTGCACACTTTTTTCTTTATTTACATTCAGAATGCTTTAAAAATTCCATTTACAAGACAATTGTTTATAATAAAATTTTATTCACCAATCGATAGCCTCATAACGATTGTAAACAATGTTTTTGTTTGAATTTGGGTTTGACCAATTCGTAAAAGAAAAAAAAACAAACTAATTAAGACATGCGTGTCCGTCAACCTTAAACAATAATCTTTGTCAATTTTATTTTTCAGTCTTTATGATGGTCGATACTTGATCTATCTCTTACTGTTACATCCCCGGGTAATGCCGGGCTCTACTGCTAGTATATATATATATATATAAAAGAAATATGTTGTAGTGGTTCCAACGAGAGAAAAGTATGTATATTAAAAAGAAGAGGGGTGCCGCAAACGTTTTTGGTTGTAATGTGGATTTATTGAGAAAAAATATTATACTTTGTTTTACATAATTTCACGACACGTGTTTCTGGTCTGGTCTCGCAACCGTCTTCAGGTGAAAGTGGAGATTTTTACATATTATTAAAAATAATTAATTTTTCTTCATTCCACATTGAACAATGTGGAATATTCTCGATATGAGACATTCTGTTTGTGTGTTGGCAATCCGAATTTTCTTTCTAGAATTGTCAATGAAGAGTTCTGCGTGAAGGGTCATAAAACAATTAAGGTTTGTCCAGCGAGTAGTTATCGGCATTTAATCTTTTAATGTTTTAGTGACCTCTATGTGCTCTTGGATCTGTTTCTATTTTGGCGTGTTCCTGTCAGCATGCGTGTATATATGCGTGCGTATATTTCCTTACTACGAGGAATTCGTAAACTTATTTGTACCTATACACGCATACACACACATACACACTATCCCACCACAAGTAGTCAGTACACACACACATATACACACATATTTCCCAAGCTACATGGAACCAGTACACACACATACACACACACACATACATACACACACACACACGTACTTCTTAAGTTGTCAACATCCGCATATACATACATAAATGTATGTATGTGTACATACACATATATATATCTCTCCTCGTGTCTCCCGTATATGAGTGTGCGTCCATGTATGTGAGCGATCATTGTATTTGGTCACCCTGTGTGCATGTTTTTTTTTTTTTGGGGGGGTTACGATCTATTCAGTTCGGGTTTGAATTTGTCTATAAAGTTTTTTTCCTGTATTTGTAGATACGAGTAATTGTCTGTTTGATATATCGGCATGATATTAAACTTACCCTGGTTACATTTGAAAATGTGTTGTGATACAAAAAGTTTTCTGTTGTCTGTCAATTTTATATTGCTTTTGTGTAGGGAGACCCTGTTGTTCAGTTGTTGGCTGATGCCTATATATGACTTCTTACATTTTGTGCATTTAAGTGCATAAACTACATTTTTGGAGTTGCAGTTTAAGTTTTTGTTTATTGTGAATGTTTTTTTTGGGTTTTCAAAAGTGTAGGAGTTTCCTTCTATAATGATGTCACAAACCACATCTTTTTTTTGTTGCATTTTGTGACTCCCTGTATTTTGTGTTGACTAAATTTAGATGAGGTTAATATGTGTTTTAGGTTTCTAGATTGGCGTTTGCTCTTAATTATTTTGGTTGTTTTTAGTATATTATTCAGTTTATTATTCTTGCTAAGTAAATCTAGATTTTTTGTGATTTCTGGGAATATTTCTGGGTTGTTTTTTGTTGTAACGTTGAAACATATGCTAGAGTTTGTTCGACGTTACGTTTCTTTTTATTTCTAAGTTGGTCTAGAGGAATTTCTTTCATGAAGTTCAATACCTTTGTTTACTAGTGTTGTGGGGTAGCCTCGTTTCTTGAGAGTTTTATGTAGTTCTTCTAAGCGGATTTTTTTTCGGAGATGTTTATCAGTCACTATTGTACAAATTCTACGTGCTAGGGAATAGGGGATATATATATATATATATATATATATATATATATATTTTTCTCACCAATAACACAACTTTCATGCAATTGTCAGGTGGTGATTGAATCAGCACCTGTAAGGGAAAAAATGTATATTATTGATATAAATTATAGCTTATTGTACATCAAACACTATTTTATTAATACCAGCAATGTGCGATAGTTTCCTCATCTAAGTGAATTGTTTCATTGCATGCTTCAGAGCTGAAATTGCATAATATTGAAAACAGGACGATTAATTTCATCATAGAAATTTAATGAATCTTCAGATAATGAAGACATTCTGAAAAATTTTTTTTTTAGAGTTAATTGAATAATTGTCAATGAGGATGTCTTAAGAACCAAATCAGAGTAAAAAAAAAAAAAAATGTCTATTTACTGTTGGTGTGTCACCTTTCCTCAATATAGTGTTTAATCTAATATTATTTAATGCAGAAACTTTTCATTGTTTAACTTTCAATCATAAATCACAGATGTGTTTGTGCTTGAGAGAAAACAATGAAAGAATTCAAACGCATGAATTCAAATGAAAAGTGTTTAAAAAAAAAAAAAAATAAAAGTGGGGATGAAAAAGCAAATCTAAAAATTTGAAAAACAAAAAGGTAAGTAAAGGATCCAAATTTTGTTTGCTGGTTGTTCAGCTTAACCCCACCCCACCTTGTGTAATAAGCAAATGCCACCTGGAAGTTTTGTTTACATTTGCAATGGATAAACAAAATTTCTCTACTTCACATTTTTCTTGTCCTCCACATGTGAATTTTCTTTTTGTCAATTGGCATCTGATGTTGCATGTGTATTGTTTGATGAAAACCAGAGTTTGAAGTGAAGCCACACAAGTTTATACTAATACAAACATCAGGCTTTCAGTACAATAGCAAAAGTCTAGGTAGCAATGTTAGTGAATTGTTGCTAATATTAGCATCTTCTACAAGATTTCCCAGGACATTTCTTTGTTTTAACATCTACTTTATCTTATATAAAAATCGTTTATAGAAATATTTTCTTAGTATTTCTCATATTGAAAGGCTGGGGTAGGACAGCTGAGAGAAAAAAATCTTTTTTATAGTAGCGACGTACATGTGATTAATGATAGAATATTTGTGGATAAGAGGTGTGTAAGCCGAGGAGGACAATGTTTGAGGTTACACCAAACAGAATTTGAGAAACCAAAAAAGAAAAAAAAAAAAAAAAAGAAATGTTTTGAATAAATGAATGAATAGTAAGTAACCTGGTAGTAAGTATCCATATTTTGTTGGACAATCTTTAAGAGGAAGTATCATGGATCAAGACATCATTAGTTATAACAATAGGAAGGCTGACTGACAAGGACATAAGAGAGTTATAAAAAGAAAATTACATTACAAACTCTTTAAAAATAAGTCTAGTTGAATTGCTGTTATTTTGTAAGTTCCTTTTGCTTTCCATAATAAAAAAAGTTGATTCCCTATCCTTTACATTTAATCCCTATTAAGTCAAGATAGACAAATATAATAAAATATTAGGTAACATTACACCACTTCTTCAGTCAGTAGGCTGCCATTTCTTTCAGTAGTAGACTAGTTGCCAACCAAAACTATAGGACCTAGTCTATCCTGCTATTTAACTCATAGTTGGGAGGAGAACTAGATTCATACCTTTCCCATGAGTATTTACACATAAGTGTATGTAATGAACCTGAATAGAGTTCAAACTTGGCTTTCTAATTTCTCATTCTAAGCCATTTTCCATCATACTATACTGCACATCCCAGTAGGAGCCAAAGTGTAGAATTATGTTTGCTTTATCTTTATAAATTATTAACAGGGGAAATCTTTATTGACAACCTCATACATAGAAATAAATTAACTTTCTCAAAAAAAAAAAAAAAAACTAAATTCTAAATCTATGTTGTTAAATAAATACATTTACTTAAGGGGAAATTATTTTAAATTTTCATGTGAAAAGTTATTTTCCTCCAATGTTAATGTATTTCTGCATTATGTAGCACCAATTACATAATCCAATTAAATAAGACCAATGAAGAAAATCCAACATGAAAGCAAATTTCCTGATCCAGCAAGACATTGGGATTTGCTTATGAATAGTGACAGATAAAACTTAAAATCTACTGAAAGCAATAAACAATCTGACTTTGATCATACTTTCTCCACTAAAATATTCCATTTTCTGCATTGTATTAAATATCACTGCAGTTTTTGTTTTCAGACTTAAGTTATTAAATAAGGATCATTTTTCTGAGAAATATTTTCAAAAGACATACCCAGAAAAAAAATTCCTTAATTTCCTATGATTTAAAATGTAATTTACAGAGATCATCCAAACCAAAAAAAAAATGTCTTTTTACTGTTTATTGTTTTGAAACATTACTTACCTCATACAAACTCATGATTCACATTTGTGTCTCTGCAGAGGTTGCTACAGAATCATATTTTTTGCAGACATGTCTTCAATATCAATTACATCAATATAAAATTTATTTGGATCAAATAAATAGAAATCTCAAAATTCCATATAAAAATGTAACACATGGAATCAAATTTTAAAATTTTAATTTTTAAAGCTTTCCATAATTTTGAAGGTCAAGAAAAATAAGCAAGACTTGATTTTCAAAAGAATTAAAATCCCAAAAGTGGCCACAGTTTTTTGAGCACAGGTAAGCAATATAACCAAAATGAAAACATAAAAGTTTTTTTCTCCTAAGGATAAATCAGATTAATTTTTTCCCTTTTGACACTTTTCTCTTTTTAATTAAGAAATAAATATCTTCTACTTTAATATTCATAAAAATCATTTTTTCTTTTTCGTAAAATGACAGACACTGAGGTTTTTTTAATGTGTTTTATTAAAAAGAAAATGTCACAATGTAATGTACATAAAACAAATACTACAAATGTCTGCATTTTCAAATAGGTTTTGTTTCAGTATCAATCCGTCGTCTTTTGGCTCCTGGTAAAGTTTCTTTGCAAAGGAAAAAAATACAAAATAATAAAACATCCAGGTAATTATTGACAGCAATTTCAACAAAAATAGGAAAATACAAACCATGGTAGATATGTATCAAAACAATGCCAACTGTTTATCCTCAATTGCAAACATATTTAACATCCTTAAAATTTAAAGAAATGCAGCTTATATGAATTAATATCTCCACTGAAAAATCAATGAACTGAAAATAGCATTATTTAAACATGTTATTTTTTTTTCTTTTACTGTTTGGTAAATATAAGATAGAGTTGAGCAAGATATAATTTAAAAGAAAAAATTATTGTAATTGATGTGCTCACAAATATTATCTCAGTTGTATCTGAATAGCAGCTTATTTTTATGGATTAATTTTGACAAAAGTGTTTTTTCAATTCATGTTCATGTCTCTAGAAGCAATTTTAAAAATAGTGATCAGAACAAAAAAAAAGCCAATAGCATCAAGCTATGAACGATTTTAACTTTATTTGTTTTTCATATTTATTAACATTATGTGCAGCCACATTTCTAAAGGAAATTCCTTGATGTTAAATGTCTAATTTACATACTATCTCCACCAGACAATATTTGGTTGAGTAATTTCAGATATACACATTCATTTTTTGAGCACTTTCTATAGTATTCGTTATTTTGGATTAGGAACATAAATATTGTAAAATAACCATTAAAATCAAACTACAAAAGACTGTTTTACTTTTTAAAAAATATTGTTAATTCATTTGGAAAATTAAATCCCAGTTAAATGATTACATACTTTCCATTAGCTGACATTACACACCTTCATCTAATCTATTTGCACAGTTCTGACAAATCTCATTAGTCTACAGGTTTTATGACATTTAATATATTTGAATTAAGAAAATAACAAAATTTTAATGCAAACTACAGGTTTTTTTTTTCCATTTCTTTGCTACATTCATTTCTCTTTTGTTACATTATTAGATTAAAGCATTAATGAGAAAACTTCTCTATATATGAAGAATGTTTGACTTGTGTAAATATTTAATTCCATAAGAACTACTATTAAACTATTGTGAAAAAAAAAAAAAGCTAAATTCAAAATAAAGTAACAGTTATAATTTCCTTTAAGTAACAACCTCTTTTTTAAAGCTACAATCTTTCAAAGTTCAGGGAATTTCTACAGTAAAGTTCCTGATTCTGCCAGCTGTGGTAGCTAGTTACTAACAGTCAGCCATATGCCCAAATAAATACACATTTTTTTAGATCTATTTCTGCCAACACAGTTTTCCTTCTTTTTTTTTTTTTTTGATGATGGTGCCAATTATAAATATTTAGTATGGCCAAATAATAGCTTCTCTTGCAAGTAAATCTTCCCAAAAAGTGAAAAAGAACAGTAAAAGCAAAAAAATGCTGGTCAGCGCACTTGATGTGAAAACCTCACACAGTTTGTTTTGGTAACAGTGAATCATTCTGTAGCAAGAAAGTAGCATCTGGTAGAAGAAAGAACATTCTCTATTGACTTAATGTAATTTAGAAATTTTCTTTATTTTAACAGAATGTCACATCTTCCCATGACAAAGAAAAATCAGTCAAAAAAAAAAACATCCAATCATTAACTATTAAAATATGGTTATTATGAATATATGAATTAATTGCTCTGTAAGCCTCAGATCTCAGAATTCCAAATAATAATGTCACTATAAAGACATATCAATAGTATTTTTAATGACAACTTAATTTATATATATCAATTCAGCAAATAAACACACACATGTATGTATGTATGTATGTATGTATGTATGTATATTTAGGCAGAATATCTTCATTCAAGCATGTTTGATTGAATAATCTAGAGATATGTCTATTTTATTTTAATCCTCTCAAATTCACGGATTAATTTCTTAGTGTTGTGACAAAACTGAGTAAGAAAGATGCCATAGTTTTTCTCATTAATTTTATTTACCCAAGTACTTTCAATCTCATCTTCAGGAATGAATTGCTAACACAAAAGTAATTGATACTTGTGAATTTTTTTGTAAATGCACATGAATGCACTCCATTATAGTCAATTTACGCTAAGTAAATATGTAACGGAGGTAACTTAGATTAAATTTTTTATTATTAATGTTGTAAACATACTCACCCCGCAATTTTTTTGAAAACACCAATAATAATACATTTACTCCGTCCCTATATAAAAAAAAAACTAACTACCATAAACACATGCACTGAAGTATAAAAGCAAATATCCTGACTATTACAAAACAGCAATTTTAAAAATTTAATAAACTGTGCAAAAGTTAACTCTTCCACAAGTAAAAATTTGACACAAAATTAAAAATAATTAAACAAATTCTCATTAATAATAACTTTCCTCATTACACTGTTGATGAACAAATTAGACAAGCTATTAGAAATATTAGCATAAATCTAAAAACCATAATACTTCCTCAAATAAACCTATCAACCTGCTATATCGCACTCAAATACACTAACTACTAACAAAGTGAAAATTTCCTAAAAACTCATAAGTACAAATATGTCCCCCACTGATCCCAATAAAAAAAATAAAACTAATTATATACTAAATTTAATAAAACCAACTTACCAGCCACAATAACTCTTCTCTGTCAATTAATGTTTTGCAAAAGAAAAACATTGTATATCAATTTAAATGTCCTTTGGGATATTGTATCTCTGACAAAAGAGTAAATATAAATGCTGGTTTCATTGTCATGATGACACTATTAAAAAGGCTTCCTTTACACATGTTGGATTCAAGTTCTATTGCACAACATTTAAAAGAACATTCCTGGCACATGGAACTAGAACAGTCTACCCCAGTGAGCAAAATAAAAGGTTCAGTTCAACATTCCAACTACCTGAAGAAGGCCAGAGCATACATCAGCCGAAACGTTGTGATAAATATGGCAACAAAGACGAGGACAATAGTCTGAATAATGTAAAACTAAAGAATCTTTCTTACTCGATTTTGTAACAGAATTAAGATATTGAGCCGTGAATTTGACAGGGATTAAAAAAACATTAGATAAAATATGTTGAGATTATTGAATCAAACATATATATATATATATATATATATATATATATATATATATAATATAAATAAATAACTCTTGCCAGCAATTACAATGTCAAAATACCATTAAAGATATCAAATTTGTTCTTAAAATTCAGTCAAACAAAATGATTCTCAGAAGGAAAACATATCAGAGAATATCATTGGATTTAAAGTAGAAATTTTAAAAAAATGTTTAAATTTTGTAGAATTTTATAAATAATGCAGAAAATATGAACAGCAAATTATCAATTAATGATCAGCAAAGATAATGGAAAACAAATGGAAACAATAAAGGGAGATAACTCAAAGACAACATCAGAATTAATGAAAAAGAGAAATAGAATTGTAAATACTTAGACAAAAACTAAAAAAAAAAAAAAACAGAAATGTGAAAAAAAGAGAAATCAACTTGGAAAGAGCAGAAGAAGCTATCAATAAAGGGAAGAACTTGAAATATATTTGATCTGCAATCCACATAGATAACCAGCAATTGCATTGAAAAACAGAAAACGAGAATTTACCAAATGTAGGGACAAAATGTTAATAACAATTGAGAAGTATTATGCCAACATGTATGTTTTGAAAATAAAAATAACACCAACAGTCATTCTGGAAGATTATTAGTGATAACCCTGACATAACAAATGAAACAAAGTTTCTGCTTCAAAATACGAAATACAGAAAAGGACCTGGCAAAGATGGTGCATTAACAGACCTTTTGAAAGATGCACTGCAAAAATTCCACAAGGGAATATCACAGCTATTTATTTGGTGCATATAGAACACAATATTACCTCAAAACTTCAAGTGAGAAAGAGTTATAAAAAAAGGGGGGATAATAAGGATCTCAGCACATTATTTTTGAACAAATTATTTTCAGTTGTAATATAAAAGTCATATGAACAGACTAGTGTTAAGGGTGGCTACACAATAACAGACCAATGATAAACAATGGAGCAATTGATTGAAAAAATAACCACTTTTTCAGATTTGGTTGACTATGAAATTGCATTTGACTCAAAAGAATATACAGTAAACTTTAATTCACTACAAGAGTGAAGTATTAAAGGAAGCTATATAAAAGTTATTGTGCATGAATCCAATTACAGTACTGCACCTTGAAAGTATCTTTCAAAAAATGAATTGGGAACGGATGAATGTAAATAGAGATTATATGAACCATCTACAATTTGCTGATGGTATTTTACTAATATCAGAATAATCAGATGAATTATAAGACATAATAATTGATTTAAATAAAGAACCAAAATAATATTCAATTGTTACATTTCAAAAATGTTCATAAAAATAAAAGATAAAGAACTGGAAGAAACACAGAAATAGATATGTTTAGGGAAGAAAATAAGAGACAAAATAAAAAGCAACTTAACAGTTTGGGTAAAATGTCTAATAAATGTACAATGCCAGGCATGATGTAAACATGCAAAGCATGGAAATTAACAAAATTGCTAGGAAAGTAAAAAAACAAAGATCAATGGAAAGAAAGAGCAATGCTAGGAAAAGTTATGGATGAGACAAGAGATACTCATATAAGTGGTTAAATAATAAAAATGAAGGTGTTTAGGACATATAGGACAGTTCCTCTATACCTTTAACACCAAGAAGAATAAAAATACATTTGCTCGTTTCCTTCAATTCTATATTTATGGGTCAAAGTGCTCAATAACAGGGACAGAGTGTGTGTAAATGTAAAATTGGACATTAAAGTCAACACCCAGTTGCAGCAGTCCATTTCATTCTTATATGCAATCATCAAGGCATCGTGTTTGTGTATATATATATATATATATATTGTTATGGTTTGAGTTTTAAATATATTAATGATGAGGGGTTCAAAAAGAGACACAAATTATATAAGCAATTAAGAAATGCCTACTTATCGGGAAGTATAACCAAAACAGTCAAACTGATGAATGAAGAAAACGGATATCAAAGAAATTATTTTCTTTAGATTATAAAATAGTTTTATGAGAAATCTTATTCCAAGAAGAAAATAACATGTCTAACAACATTTTATGATAACTACAACAGTAATCAATCCTTTCTTCTCTTTATTATAAGAACAGATAAAGAAATTTATATAAATCTCAAAGTCAAATAGAATTATTTCCAAACTAGCCTGAAAAATACATCTTGAAATGATTGTCACAAAACAGATATAATATCTACATGACTGTTTTTATTTTTTAAACATAGAAATTTTACATCAAAAATAAAATAAAAAAATGATCTCAAAGATAATCAGAGGATCTCATTTCATTGCTTCAAACTATTATTTTTCATTTGTAATTCATGTATTGTCAAGTAAAATGTATTAATACAAACTTCATTTATGCAATATCTCTCAAGTCTGAATAATTAATAACCAATTCAACAATTATCAGACTTCTTTCATAACTGCAATACAAACAGTTTAACATTCTTCTTCTTCTAATGAACTGCTCATGAGAAGATATTTATCAGTCAAATACCCAATTCAAGTTATGCAATAAACTACAATCTGATCATTTCCATTTTTAGGTAGCAACTTTACATTTATATATTGTATGTCGAAAACTGTAAAAGATTATCAAGCAAAAAACGTTTCACTCTACAATACTATCAAAGTGTTTTAGCAAAGATAAATGTTTAATTATCATATAAGTTTACTTCCAAACATCCAAGAAAAAAAACTAAGAATTTCTTTTCACCAATAATTTCAATCTGAATAAGTGTTGCTTCAAGACAAGATGCTTGCTGTAACTGATAAATCTATTGCTGGAATTGTAGATGTCACATTCAACAGAAAACAGATTTGTTATCAAAGGAAACTTAAAATGGTTCTGCAATGAATTTCATGCACCTGAATAATGCAATAATTTATACAGTGACATCATATTCTCATAAGTAAACAAAACTTGTTATATATTCAAAGGTCTTTTAGTTTCTCTGAAAATGATAATAACTGTAGTAATAGTTATGAAATCTAAGTTATGATTTCAAGATTGTTTATTATGCTTACTGCAAATGGTTTTATAAGTAGCAAAGAGAAAATTATTTGAACAAAAAGAAATGTAAAATTTAATAAAAGCATGAAGCTTAAAACAAAAGAGTGCTCAGTGATGAAATACATTATTTTTTAAGTTAAATGGTACATGACATATACCTGCATAAGTAACTAAAATTTCATTTGAGGTGAACAATAATATCCAATAATTAAGAGAGAAAATATCTTTATTTCTTACCTGTTACAAAATTCTGAGAAGAATCTGTATTGGTTTTCATTGTTTTCCTACACAGTACAGTGATTGGCATGATAAACTGCACACAGTACATGTCTTTATTGGGTGCCACATTTCGCACAAAACGGATTTCAAAATCTTTAAAATTATCTGTATTCATGTTAAGGACTTTTAATATTCTTGCTTTAATGTCTTCATCTGGATTAATCCCTTTATAAAAACAATAACAATAAATGCGAGGAAGATGACCAGTGTCCAGTTTAGCCAGTATATCTGGAATATCATCAAACAAAGACAGGAATGTGTCCAGAAAGTCGACTGCCAAAGCAGGCAGGTTCATAATAATATGAATCTTACAATTTTTTTGTTTGTTTCTATCATCTGAATTCAAGTCAGCAACCAATTCCTGCCAATGGTTGAAAAGTAAAGGTTTCAACTTAGTGCGTATAAATTCATGCCCATCCAAATTGAAGGTTTCGAAACAGGTTTTCACTTTGTTAAGTTTTTTGCTGTGAGTGAGCCACTTAAAAGAATGAGGATTTAAGTCATTGGCAAAAACCTGGCAGCCTTTCTTTGCTGCAGGAATTGCAAATGGTCCAACTCCAGCAAAAACATCAAATACAAAATCTCCACTCGTCAGTTTATTGATTATATACTCATGTTCTCTTCCTGAAATAATTCAGAAATAAAAAAAGGATGAATCAAATCATATAAGAATTATGAATGATTAAAAAGAAAATGTAATGCAATTATATATGCAAGATATGATACTAAATGATGAAACAATTATCACATTTTTTAAAAATATTTTAATAATCACAGAAGCAAAAAATTGTGCACTTAATTTCCAAATTTCAAACAGTTTAATTTTTATTATAGGTTGACTTTTTTTATATATAATAAAGTGCTTTCCTCAAACAATATCCATTAAATTTCAGGATTGATACACAAAATAAATATTGATAGCTTCTATCAGAAGGACAGACAGCTCAAACAGGGATATATGACAAGCATATACAATCACAAGGTATACAATCACTAATTTTACATTAAATGAAATTTAAATGTTTCAAAAGTAACAGAAGAAAAGAGAGAATATATAATGACATGTATAATTTTCTGCATTAATTCTTTATTTCAGGTAAAATTTATTATCAATTGAAATTTTTTTTTAAGTTCCTAAATTTTATATTGAATAAAATGATATAAGAAAATATTTGTGTTGAACAAGATAACTGGTACACTTTGTTAATGAATATGTTGAAATAGTAAATAAGGCATTAAGTTAACACTTTTTGGTTTTTACTTATTTTTACTATACAATAAAAATTATTTCATCACTTGTCACTAATTCATAATTAGCCTCTATCATTAATAGATATGGATTATAAAAGTTCAGTTACAAGAATAAATTTCTTCTAAAAATTTTTTTTTCAAAATTCAAAGACAGCTTGGATCATAATTTCCCATTAATCCAAATTTGTGCAATTTCTAAGATACAAGGTTTTCTTTAAAAAAGAAATATGGATCCCTTAAGGTACAAGATAAAAATAGATGCAAGAAGAAAATTATTTAAATGTACAGCTGCTAATAATATATATACTTTTCAATATGCTAAAAAGATAAAAATAAGTTTCGTTGAAATGAAAATAATCAAATAATTATGAATATTTTGTTTAGAAACAAAAATATGTCTTAAAATTTCTTTGATTAAACACTGCCGTTATTAGTAACTTTTAAGAGTAATTATTTTCAAATTGTTTCTATTTCTAATCAGATGAAAGACTGGTCAAAAACGAATAACTGCAATGTGATAGTTTTGTCGTATGCACACATGAAAACGAGAAGTAAGGGAAGTAACTAGAAAGGATTATCAAAAGATTTACCTCCCCTTAGATAAAATCTTGTAAATCTTGGTGATTATATTTGATGACATATGTACTTTTTGTTGCTCAAAAAACGCCCTGCATGTAATCTTCCATTAGTTCATTTTACCAACAACACTCATTACCACATTTTATTTCACTTCTACTTAGCCCAACTTAATATTATTATTTACTCAAACAACACTTCATCAATACTATAAAAGGAATTATTGTAACCAAAGTACCAGTGACATTCACCAGTACCAACTGATCCATCATACCTAAATATGCTTCAACACACTCCTATCAATAACGAACTGGGAAGTACAAAGAAATTAAACATAACTGGAGCTTTTTGGTTCATTTGAGTTCAATCAAAGAAGGAAAAAATTAAATGAACCTCTTACCTAAGCGAGAATTCCAATAAACTTTATCAAAATCAAATTGATAGATACACTTGTTCTCTCGAACAGTAGCAAAGAAATCTTTTTCCCCAGCCAGTAATTCCATTTCAAAGTTTCGGAAAGTATTATCAATAATATTCACTTTATTGACAACAGTTTTCACAGAAGGAATTTTGTCCAAAAGAACTTCACCTGCAATTCACAAAGAAAAAAAAGACAATTTTTAAAGAAAATTTCAGCATAAAATAAGAGTTGCTTTAAATTCTGTTGTAACAAGATGAGAAGATGCCTGTTTTTGAAGAGGTTAAATTATAGCTGAGACTCATGTCATCAATTGTCTAAAGCCAGGAAGAATTTGCCTTACTTGATCTGTTCAAACACTAATTTATCTTGACTATCAAAAATATTTTTATTAGATTTGAGTTACCAAAGAATTTTTTTTCAGTTTATAAAGTAAAACTAAATGACTTATTTTTTAAATTATATTTATTGAACAACATATTTAGCATTTTATCCCACTATCTTTTTGCCATCTTTCAAACTATTTCATCCTCCTAACACTTCTACACTATAGGTGCCCATTTCAAGGAACTAAAATTGTTTTCATCAAGAGATTTCTGTAAACACTAGAATGATGGTCCAAAAGTACAATATCTGAGTAATATAGCAAAGGAGTGAAAACTTTTCAGCCAAGTAGTCACAATTTCTGTCTTCTTATCACCACTCCAAATAAAGTTTAGCACCATATTGATGGAACATTAGGTCCTTTCTTTTAACTAATTCTGAACACACTTAATTTGGTCTAATTGGGAGTAATTTCAAATCTACTGTTTATTTTTCCTTTCCAGTCTCACCATTACATACAAACTAGCCTTTGGTACAATTAGCAATGGTTCGCTTCATCTGAATCACAATTTCTTGTATTTCCTGTTGTTGTGAATTATCTATTTTCTCATCACAATTTTTTTTAAAAAATGGATGCCACACATGAAATTGGCTAACATAACCAAACATGATTTGGATATTTTAAGTAATCTGTTACATTGTATAAAGTTTCTTATTCTCAAGTGATATTTTCACTTAACTATTATTAGCCTTGACTGGCTTGCCCAAATGTAGAGCATGATTCAACAAAAATAAAATTTGTGATATAATAAACAAGGCTGATGAAGAATGATCACCAACTGGGAGGGGAAGACAATGCCAGATTAATTATAATTACCAATTATCAAACAATTGATGTAATTTTATTTCACAATATAATGTATCTTTTAGCTTTCTAGAAGTTTTAACCTCAACTTATATTGTAATTTATCTGAAAAAACAAAAACTATTGCCTTTAAAAATATATGAAGTGAAATAAAAGAAAATTGCAAGAAAAAACAATCAATAAGTAAAAAAAAACAAAAAAAAACAAACTTACCTATGAGATATTTGTAATCAAGTACATCTTCTCTAAGATTCAAGTGAGCAATATGACCAATAGTGGTGAACCCTGACACACTGTCACTATCCCCAGGAATAACAGCACGGAAAATTTCAGAAACATTCCAGTTGTCATAGCCAAGCTCAATGTCTGCCCAAATTAAATCTGACGGCAATTTAATTCCCACTTGTTCCAGCAGTTGGTGTTCTCTCTTATCAAAGCTGTTGGCATTTATGTATTTCTGAGGTTTTAACAAAAACAATCGAAATTCATCTTTTTCTGGATCATCATCAGAAAGTTCAGCAATTGGCCGAATCTTGGCAAATTTACACAGAGATTTCTTCAAGTGTTTATTTAGCAGAGAGATTTTTTTTACAGGTACCTGAAATATAAATAGATCTATGTTTTGTAAAAGTTGATATGAGTCAAGAGTTTAGGAAACAAACAGATAAATGATAGAGACAATAAATATTCAAAACTACAAGTGAAAATCTAATATTTTTTCATAACACTCATATTCTTAACATGAAAATAAATATTGATCTATGTTGTAAGCTTCCAGAGAAAAATTTACCAATACCAGTTTTCCTTCAATTATCTTAAAAGATTCTATAAATGTTCATTAAAATCCTTTTTATAACAAATCAAAAACTAAGTAGTGATCAAAATGTTAATGATTCCAAATGTTAAGGAATATAAATTTCATCTTCAGTCACTAAAAGCTTAATAACAAGAAACAATGTTTCTATTTAATGTATTAAATTATTCTTGAAATTCTTAGCATTTTCTAATTGGCTGGTTTAGAAAGTTTTTCTTAATAGTTTCGGATGGATGAAGACATTATCTTCATCACCAACATAAGAAACATGTTTTACTTTCTACTACATTTGCTGTATTGGTGTTTCCTGTACAGATAATATCAAATGTTACTCTCAGCAAGCAAATGGAGGCTTTGGCTGCAGTTCTTATCCTGTTTCTGTAACCTTTTGAGTAGTGTGTTTGCATTGAGAGTGAAAACAGAATCAATGGCACAAATGTATAAAGATAGATTATTCTTTTAATTCACTAGTCACTGACTTTCCAGAGTCAAAGAATTTTTTTTCAGTTCCATTCAGTAATATTGTTTAAAATGTACAATACTTGGATTGGTCAATGCAGTGTTCACATTGCTGATTTTACACTCATTCTTCTCAAAAACAAGACACTGATACCATTAAATATAATTCTATGCTTCATATATCAAGTAAAGTTAAAGACACTATCATTGCCACCATAAGAAATCAACCAAATAATCACAGATAAGTTGTCAGCACTACCAGCTGCAATAAGAAAATAGAAGAGTTTAATAGAAGACAGCAAGTAATATAGTTTATCCAGACAAAGTAGCCTAAATATTTGGAAGAGAAAATATGAGAATATTTAACAGGCAATAAATTCACTTTCAGTTTTAGATTCCTGCCCCGTTTCATGTTATCCTGTAAGAAATTCATACAAGAGTCATCAGGTAAATTTCAATGTCAAGTATTAAGTGGATGAAGACAAGACAGAGCTACTGACTTCAGACAGATGCTAAATTTGGGCAGTTTGCTCTAATTGTTCAGAATACTCATTGCATCCAGAGCACCTGCAAAATATACTGTTGTAGTTGTACACAGAAATCATGCTGGATTCCAGGGATCTTATCAACAGACAATCTTTGCTTCTGATCAACAAGTAGTTATAGATTTTCACTACAACAACCATCATTATTCATCAAAGACAACTTGAAATATCACATTGTCATCAAGTCAGAACAAATCACACAACTTTTCTCAGCCACATCCACAATTTTTTGTGGGCAACACAGAATCAACTCCCTGCTATCCTAAGTCAAATAACCAAGTCAAGAGATTCATCAACATATTCAGCTACACTTAGTCAAGAGCTAAATGGGAAGAACCATCAGCACACACAATTCAGAGTTTTTTGACTAAGCAATAACCAATCTAATCATACCAGAAAAAATCTCCAGAACATATATTCAGAGAGGTGTGAACACTGTTTAACACTATAGCTCTAAAGAATATAAAACCAAATCATCTTAACATTGCAATAAAAATAAAATACAATTAAAAACATAGTATTTGTCTACAAATACTGGAAATGTAGTCTTTGAAGGGAAAGTTATCTGATGTCAAGATTCAGAGGTTTTGAAACACACTGACATCAGCAGCAGACTTTGCAGTTGAAAGAAACATTTCTACATTGATAACACAATGATTAAAATGTTAATTAAAGGATTTGCAATTAGTGAACATTCAACAATTTAAAAAAAAATCAAATAATGGATCTAGCAATATCTAAAGAATTGTTTCAGTTTCTGATATAAAATAAACATTGAGCTGATCAAGAAAATGGTTGAGAGTTTAATTCCAAAGATTACTCATTTGCTTAGTCCTTGTGTGAATATCATCTACATTGAAAAACTTTTTTCAGAATACTCATGTTTTTATGCAAATGTGTCCTGGAATTTTATTTTTTACTTTTCAAATAATTTGGATGCAGCTTCTTCTATATTATTCAATATACATCAAATTCACATTTTAATAAATACAAATACATTGCACCAATTCATGCAACACACCAGCATAGCATTGGTGTTAGCTTGAGTTTCTTGTCATTTCATCTTTTATGAAATGTAAATTTTCATAAAAAATGTAAAATAAAGATTTGTAAAATAATGCTTTTTGGTGTTTTCAGTTTGTAGAATTTCAAATGAGTAAAAAGTAAAGAGAAAAATAAAAGCATAAATGCTAGAACTGTGAAATAAATATTGAAACATTTGAAATTTGAATCAAATCAAATTTCATTTATAAAGTTTTAGTTTCTTTTTACTCAAAAAATTAACAATGATTGATCAAGAAAATCAAATTCATCTTTTATTTTTTATTTATTTATTTATTTATTTATTTTTTAATCAGAATCATCCCAAGCAAGGCACTAGAACAAAGGTTTACAGGGTGTGAAAGAATTAGGAACAGAAACATGAGCAGAAAGTAATCAGGCAGACAGTTGCATTTAAATTTTTGTAGATTAAAGATGGCTGGAAAGTAAGGAGCTGGAAGGGAGTTCCACAAGTGAGAAGTGTGAGATTAAAATTAAAACAAGAAATTTACCAAGTTGTATAAATTTACAGATTCATCTGTTGAATAACTTGGATTCCTCTGTAGATTTTCATTCACAATTTTGGAATTTATCCAGATATCATTTTTAAAAATAGTTAAGGAATACAACAGATGAGTAAATTTGTTAATGAATTTTAGATTTTTTTCTTCTTCAATAGTCAAATAAAAGATTAGATGGGTGGAACTAATGTCTTTGCTACAAGAGCCATCCATTTTATGGTACATCTGCCATCTCAAATTAGACATTTTAGAATTAAAAAAAAATAAATAAATAAATAACACATATTCAACAATCCTTCCACTCACTCATCATCAGATTGTCTTACATGCAATTCTCTAACTCATCTGTTATTCTCCTCAGGGAAGCATCAAGTGGCAGTGTCCAGTGAAAACAACAAACAATAAGATTTGACTGCAGGAATAGTTAAAGCCAGCTATTAGGAAATAAGGCCTACAATGGACAATGACATTTCAGGGTGTTGCAAAACTCTTCCTGCCACTGCCTTTTAATCAGGTTTTCCTTCCGCACTTTCATTGTATACATGAAAGCAAATGCAGCAAATAACCTTCATTCAGAGAACAGGCAAATGACAGTAATCAGCTGTTGGATTGAATAAACAGACTATGCCCTTTTAAAAGTAGACAAACAAAGACACTCAGATGACATGATGAAGGTTCATGTTATATATATATATATATATATATATATATATATATATATATATATATATATATATACACACACACACACACAGAGAGGGGGGCTGAAAAGTGTCTGAATGGCCAAAAGCCCTTCCTCACAAAATTTTGATGTTTGGTCATTTCATTAAATTTTGGAATGTAGGTCACGTCTGCCACAGAACTTTACACAGTAGACCCTAATATATATAGTATAATTATATTGCTTAAAATCTGCTATATTTACAAGGGAAAAGTATACAATATCTGCTGTCTGATATCAAGTGTGGTAATTTCCAGTAGAATTAGAAAACAGAAACATTACTAAAGAGTGCGAACAATAGAAAAGTAATCAGGAAGACAGTTGATAACAATTGGCATTGCATTTAAATTATTGAAGATTAAAGTTAACTGGAAAGCATTGTGCCAAAAGAGAGTTCCACAAGTGAGAAAAGAAACTGTTAGCATAGAACTTATGGTTACATCTCTAGCCAATTCATCTGTAAATTAATGAGATCTTGTTGCCAATCTAGTACTTAAATTCATAAAGTATAGGTAGAATAGCGAAGAGCTCATCCAAACAATTACCATTAAAGTATTTATAGAAAAGGCACAGGGAGACAACTTTACAGCAGTGAAAAAGTGACTGAAGCTGAGATGCTAGATCAGAACCAAAAATATTGCCGATTCTTCTTTGGGTTTTTTCAACCTCTAAATATATAGTAGGACTACTGGACATGGCAGCAATATTCTAAGCATGGACAAATGATGGTCCTTATAGATATGTAAGATAGATTCTGGAGAGAAAAATTGTCTAGCACGACACAGTGAAGCAACTTTCTTAGCAGCTGACCTAGCAATGGATTCAATATAGTCTTTTCACTTCATGTCAGCCCAAGAAGGTGCAATGAGTCACTTTCCAGGTGATAAAATTAAGAAGCTATTCTTTGATCCAGTTAACAACACACTGAATGTCATTTATGACATCAGCGGCCAATTTGACCTTGTCAAACTCATCAAACTTACTATCGAGACAGGAGAGTTAATGTTTGTGCCATCAGCATAGTTACCAAGTTGAGAGCTGATGTCATCGGGAAGGTTATTAATGAAAATTAAAAACAAAATAGGACACCTGCATTAATATAAAAGGATCTAGAAGAGTAGCTATTCAGGATAACTTTCATTTCAAAAATTTATAAAGAGCTGTATGCCTAACCCTGTGCAATGCTTTCAAAATGTCTAGCTCGTGTTTCGCCATTCTTATCTAAAGCTTGATAGACTCTTTGCGCAATAATTGTTAATAAATTAGCAGTTAACCTAGAAAAACGAAAGCCAAATTGCTTGACTAAAAGAAGGCCCTGCCATGTGAGATGCTTAACTAATTTAGCATTGATTAGGGCCTCCAATGGTTTAAAAGAGGTAGAAGGCTAATAAAGTGATAGAAGGGTTGGATGGTTCAACAGATGAGGATTTCCAAGAAGCAGGAAAATAAGAGGCAGCAAGGCATCTATTATACAGTTTACACTTCTTAAGGACTATT